TGTGTGTGTGTGTGTGTGTGTGTGTGTGTGTGTGTGTGTGTGTGTGTGTGTGTGTGTGTGTGTGTGTGTGTGTGTGTGTGTGTGTGTGTGTGTGTGTGTGTGTGTGTGTGTGTGTGTGTGTTTGGTCAGTTCTAGTGGTCAGTTTATATCGGTCAGTTCTAGCCGACAGAAGCCGCACAGGGTAGCCTCCTCGCTCGTCACGCCGTAGCGTGTCCTGAACGACCGATCGCAGGCCGCGCAGCGCGCCACGCCCTCTATCGGTGAGCCGTCCTTGGTGCGAACGAGGATGGTCCCGCATCCGGCGATGTTCCACAGCTTAACGGTGCTGTCGGCTGCGCACGAAACGACCAGAGCGCCGCCGCTGCTGAACGAACACGCGTTGACGCGACCCTCGTGACCTTTCAGCAACAACTTCCGGGTCGCGGTGCGCACGTCCCACAGCATGAGGTTGTGGTCGTGCGAACCGGAAATGAGCGAGTCGGCGTCGGCGTTGAACGCGCAGCAGCCGACGCATCCCTCGTAGCATTTGTCCAACACGACGGGACCCTTCGTCCTGCAAGTGAAGATACTGACGACGTGACTGGACTGGACTGTAAGCTAAAGATAGCATGGAAGCGGGAGTTAGATGGAGGCTCATAATGTCCTCGAGCTTGAATTGGGAATAATCCATAATGCACGGCAGGGTTGATACTGTCATGGCGGACGACGGTCGCAAACCTAAGAAGAAGCAAACTTGTAAACCGAAGCCGAAGCGGTAGCGGCGCTTGATCTGCTGGGGCGATATGGCGTGTGGTAAATTCGTCGTCCAGTGATGGGATCACGTTTGAATTCGATAAAACTTGTTTTGGTTTCTTTCTACATTTGCCTTCATCTAAAGTGCTTGCCGGCTCCTGAAAAACATCCTTACAAGTCTGCTTTTACGTTACGTTTTACTCCTTACGTTTGCGACCGTCGTTCGCCATGACAGCATCAACCTTGCCTTGCATTATGGATTATCCCTAATCGAAGCGCGATTGTCAATTATGGATTATCCTTAATTCAAGCTGAATGACATGTTGGGAGGCTGAAGGGCATCGTTGCATATCTGCTGCACTTCGGTTGTAACGGCAGCATGTAGTATCGCCATGCGGAAGTCATAGTGTTGGCTCTAAGAACAGCAATAATACATGGAATGACGCGCTAATGAAATTGCGTTTGCGTATCGTTCTGAACAAACATATCGCTCTGTAGCTACTGTAATTTAGACGGAAGACATTCCAATAAACCCTAGTAATGAATTCTGCCTATTATATCTAGTCATTTCCGCACTCATGCAAGCAAACACGCACGAACTCTTTCTCTCTCTCCCTCTCTCTCTCTTTCTCTACTCTCTCTCTACTCTCTCTACTACTCTACTACTACTACTACTACTACTACACACACACTACACTACACACACTACGTACTACACACACACACACACACACACACACACACACACACAC